TGATCGGGCCATGCTAATAGTCATCTTGTGTGACTCTACCTGGGACTGTCTTCCATGATGAGGTGGAACACGTGAGAAGTGAGATCCCTCTAGCAAGAGAGGAAGATGACATGGAGGCCAATATTGTATCTACATTGAGCAACCTTTTAGCGTCGCAAGAGTATGATTCTGTGCCGTGTGTGCCTTTGTTGAAGTGCTCAGGTGAGGAGAGAATACGTTTAGATGATGTTGATCAGTTAGTTAACGTGCGAGATTTGGAGGGTCCGAGAGTTTATACTGTTGAGGCTGACATTCACAAGAACACCTCAGGTACTGACATTGCTGAGGATGCTGTTTCTAGGAAGCGTGCGGCTACCCCGTCCGACTCCGACGACGTCTTGACCCCTGGACAACGTTCAGGTAAGAAGACGTGGTTGGAAATCATGGGTGGGGGGTCGCGCGGGTCCAGGACAGCAGGAAATACCACAGAGAATGCCAAAGGTACGGGCGTGCCTTAGGTGCTTGCCGACGCAAAGAGAAAAAAGGTGTGGTGGCCCCTAGAGGAAAGCCACCTTTGGCAAAGTTAAGTGTGTAACTATTAATGTTAATGGTTTGAAAACTCTCAGAAAGTGTGTGCAGGTACGTGAGTGGTTGAATCGCTTTGCAGTGGATGTGTGTTTTTTTGCAAGAACATAACCATAAAGTAGGGAGTTTGTTTGAGACAGATGGTTATGATGTTTATATGACTCGCTCGAGACGTCTGAAAGGTGGAGTGGCTGTGTTGATAAAAGCGACCAGCCCATTTGTGATGAAACATTGGGAGGAAGGGGGAGAGGGTCGGGTGGTGCGAGTCATGGGAGATTGGGGTAATAGAAGGGTTGGTTTCGTAGGAGTATATGGGCCGGCCGAACATGATGTTAATATTAAAAATACTTTTGTTAGAGATGTCCTAGTGTACTATTTGAGGTCCCTGCCGGATATTAAAGTGGTCGGTGGTGATTGGAACTGTGTGGTGCGCCGTAAAGACGTTGAGCCGAGGGGGGCGGGTTTTTGTTCGCTTATTTTGGGTGATTTGTTGTCTGGGCTGGGGTTGGTGGATGTAAGTGGAAGACGTGACTTGGGGATTGAGCATACTTTCGTGCGTAGGGGCTATGCGGCGCGCTTAGATAGGGTGTATGTGTCTTGGCGGGTAGTCGTAATCAATGTGTGCATGTTAAACGTCTATTTCACCGACCATCGCGGAGTTCTTGTGGAGCCTGACTGGGGAAGGGGTCTCCCGAACCGTTTTCAGGGATACTGAAAGTTAAATACGCGGCTGCTACAGAGTGCAGATGATAGGATACTATTCACGGACTTATGGGCGTCTATGGGAGTAGACTCCTGGGAAGGGTGGGATTTATTGCGACAATGGGATGAGGTTGTGAAGCCTCGAATTAAGGATTTTTATGTGCATCGGGGTAAGGAGGCCTCTCGCTTGGGGTATGGTTTTCTGAGGTACCTGAAGGGTTCTTTACGGCATTGTTATGTGCAGGGAGAAGCGACTGGAATTTACCCAGTGGACGAGACTGACGATCTTAAGGAATAAATCCAGGTACTGAAAAATAAGGTTTTTGATGGGGGCGCGTAATTTCGAGTGGGGTGGAGGAGGCTTTGTGGGGTGATAAGCCGTCTACTTGTGTCTTACGTAGTCAGGCACAAAGGTGAAAGGCGACTGAAATTGTGAGTTTAGTGGTGCAGGATGGAGTTGACGGGTATAGTGAGGGACAGGTCTTAACAACTGAAGGAATAAGTTTTTATGTCGATACATGGTGTAAGTTCCAAACGCAAAGTAAAGAAGTGAGTGAGTATGCGATACAGGAATTCGGGCGGGATGTACGATGCGAGTTCAATGATCATGATCGCCTTCTCATGGGCGGGCCTATAACTGAGGCGGAGGTGTGGGAGGCGTTACTGGGAATGAGCAAGGGTAAGGCGCCAGGCATTGACGGCATCCCGTGTGAATTTTGTATCCAACATTGGGAGGTAATATGGACTTTTATGGTTCGTTTACTCAATGCGATGGAGGTGGGGGGGGGTGTTAGGTTTGTCTCAGCGTACGGCGGTTTTGGTGTTAGAAAATGTGACGTACCGTAGAGATTAAGGACTATCGACCCATATCATTAATGTGTAGTGACTATAAACTATATGCAAAAAAAATGAATAGGATTAAGAAAGTGTTTGATAAGGTAATCCATAAAGGTCAGTTTGGCGTGCCGGATAGGTCGATGTATGATGGACATGAGAATATCAGGGAGTTTGTCGAGGAATGCCGAACGAGGGGTGGGGGTGGTGTTTTGGCTTTAGACTGGCAAGCTGCTTTCGATGGTGTGAAAAAGGAGGTGCTATGGAAGTTCATGAGATGGCAGGGTTTTGGAAATGAGGTCGTCATGTGGGCCCGTTCGTTGTACAATGGTGCTGGTTTTAAAGTATAAATTAATGGGAAGTTAGGCGTCTTTGTCCGCTTGAACAGGGGCATTCGACAGGGATGACCCACGTCTCAAATGCTTTTTGCATGCATGCAGGACCCTTTTACTGGGCTGTTTGTGGGCAGGGAGTAGATTCGTCGTGGGGTTCGAGTAGTGGTCGACCGGCCCTTGTAGGTTATGTAGATGATATTACTGTGCTATTACGTACGAGGGAGCAATTGGGTTTTCTTGGGAGACTTGTTGATGTATTTGGTAAGGTTACGGGGATGTGTGTTAATAGAGAAACGTGAAGATTATGAGGTTGGGAGAGTGGGTGGGGGATGGGGTAGGTCCAGAGAGGTGGACGGTGGTTGATCGTATCACTATATGTGGTATTCAGTATATGCGAGAGGTTGATCAGACGAGGGCATGTAATTCGGGGAGGGTGGTACACACTGTCTTGAGGCGCTTAATAGTCTACGGCCGCGACATTTAACCCTGCACCACAGGGCGGTGGTCATTAACGTTCTGCTTTATAGCAAAGTATGGCATGCTGCTGCACTGTATCCTCTGTTGCAGGGGGATGTCAAACGTCTTCAGATTTTTGTGGGGCTCCGGTTGCGATTGGCTCACGAGAGCGGTGGTAGAGACACCAATGCATCCTGGAGGGTTAGGTCTCATTCCTCTAGAGAGGCTTGTGTCATAGCGTGTTAGTGTTATGTGAAGCGTCGTTTTCTCCGACTGGGTGGGATGCATGGAGGGTTAACTGAAATGTATCGCGACCTTCGCAGGCGGTGGGGAGGGAGGGATTTAATTAGGTGCAAGTCGATGCTCCGCGTGTTATGCGCATGAGGGACGTGCGGCGTGTTAAATTATGTACCTTGGAAAGGGCGGGTATGGAGAGAGTCGTGGTGCGAGTTAAAGGAATGTACCCCATGTACACGTGGAGTGATATATGGAGGCGGGTTCAACAGTTGCGTCTTCTTGCTCAAGTACGGGAAGTCATTTAAATTTTGCATGGAATCTTGCCGTTTGGGGTGGTGTTGTATAATAGGCGTTTGGGGGAGGACCGGCGTGCGGGGTGGAGGAATCTGCTTTTCACGTTGTGTATTTCTGAGACTTTAGGCATGGTACGTGAGTGGTAAATTAGTAGGGCTTTGGGCTTGATGGGGGGATGTTTGTCGGCGCTCCGAGCGTTGAGTTTTGATGAAGGTGGTGTTGACATGCGTGTACAACGTGCGGTGTCGTACGTTGTGGCCGATTATATTTATGTCATGGGCTGAGGCACCTTGAAGGTAATAGAATTCGGGTTTTAGCGGGAACGATTTATAGGACAAAGTGTCGAAATAAGTTGGTATATGAGGGGAGATGGGAGAAAGACTTCCCGTCTGAATATAAAGCCTTGGAGTTAAGAGAGTTGACATAGTTTGTGAGCGTTCAGTTGGTACTCTAACGGGCTGGTCATCTGTGACTAATTGTGTATAATAGTTATGTGAATGTTTTGTTGTCTCCGTGTGTATATGTCTCCTATGTTATGGTGACGTCGCTATATCTGTTAAGACTTTGTATGTACAGAAGTTATAAGGTCTTCCGTCATTTATTTCTCGATACAAGTCGTTGGTGTATATTTGTATAATGTGCATTCCTAGCAAAAGTGATCGGTTCTTATTGTTTGTTTTATGCCGTAGTTATAGTGTGCTTTTCAGTAATATTATTTTATATTACATGAAACCGATTGCATTATTATTTTTCATTGTTTCATTTGAGATGTAAAATATCACATCGTAGATTAGTTTTGTTATATTGGATGTTTTTATTTTTGTGACTTGTTTTCCTTCTTTGAATTGTAAATACCTATGTCTATGTTAAGACCTCGTGATAATCGCCTAAATTAATGTTTGAGTATCGTGGTGCTCTGTTGGGCACCTGAGATCTTAGATGAAGTCTTGAATACGTGTGTGTTGACAGGCGGAAGCCATACCTAGTAATGTGCCAGATGTTGTGTCATGTTGTGTATACGTGATTGCTTGTGTATGTGCGTAGTTGTGTGTGTTTGTATTTATCACAATGTTTTATTGTACAATCTTTATAATTTCCAGTGTCTGATTTTTTTTTTGGACACTCTTGTTCATACCCTTGTAATGTTGTGTTTTTATTATATATAACCTTGTTCGTGGTGTTCTTAAATAAAAAGAAAAGTATCACTGTAATGGATAGTGTTGTGTGTGTGTGTGTGTAATACCACTGTAATAACGGTGTGTTGTGTGTGAGAGTGTATTACCATTGTACTATATAGTGTCGTTATTATGTGTTAGGGTTACTGGGATTCTTGTGCATTAATTAATTATTCGTGTATCTTTTTAATTATTTCTGTCACCTTGTATCGCATTGTTTTAAATAAAATAAAAAAAAATTCTTCAACGGCCTCTCAATTCAAGGGGGGCGTCTAAAGTTCCTGGGTCCTCTCTGAAACCTCAAGCAGAGGCTAAATTCAAGCTCCAATATACGAGATACTTTCTCGACCAGGTAAGGCTTCCCTGACAGACATCACCTTGGAGTGAGGGAGAGGTTGGGTGACTCAAACTGCCTCCTGGTACTTAACATGGTTGTACCAGTAGTTTAATTGCACAAAATATTTCCTACCTATTAACATCGCTAATTAATTCGTGGTCAGATCATGTTATAAAGTAGAATATCTTCATTTTAGCTATTATTGAAGATACATATAATATAACATTAAGAGAGAAAGCCAAATATAACCATATTCTATCGCACTTGTTGGGGTTTGTCAACCAGGGGCGTAACAATCCCCGACACAATCTGAAGCATTGGGCTATACTCGAATCTACCAGGCCATCCCAGTGTGACTATAGTTGCTGGAGGGGAGCAGGTGTGATTTCAGAGCCAGTTAGATTATCCCAGAGACTGGCTCCGTCAATGAACTTTTGGTCACGAACTCCAACATTGTTCCAAAGATGTTCAGGGAGGATCCCTGCTACAAGTTTAGTGGATGCCACACATGAAAACAAAAAAGCAGGAAGTGCAATCTGTGATGCCTTGCGGACCCTAGTAACTCCTAGTCTGATTGGAAGTGAAATCCGTCTTCTAGTTAGGGTGAGTACTTTTGTAAATATCTGCCTCAAGATACTTTCGTACTCGTGTAGTATAGGGTTTATATAAGAAATATGTAAGCCTGGTTGTGAAAACGCACGAAAACGCATATGTTTATCTCTTATCTATTTTCACCACTGGCATTTTTTCTTATATGTGATGCCAATTATTGAAAACTAACGTACTTCCTCTAGTCATGTTTTAGAATGAACTTAACGCATTTTATCTCTCTCCTCCTCCCTTCCTCGTTCTCTCCCAGCAGCCCAACGAACAGAGGAACGGGTGGATTAAGAAAGCCAGGAAATATGATCACGGTAAATGAGTTTAAGAAATACTGTTATAAAATTTGAGCTCAAAGAAGCATGCGGAGTGAGAAGAATATATGACGAGTCGCTGACGTGAAGTATCAGAGGGTAGTGGATGGTGGTGGAATTGTGGACTGTAGTTGTGATGGTATTGTACTGGTGGTGGTATTTGGCGAGGTGGAAGCGACATTGTTTTGGTGACAACTATGATTATCCATCATATTACGTGACATCAGGAAATACGTGTGGTATAATTGGCAATAATTTTATTTGGTTTGTTTGCTTTAGTGGCCATGAACTGCATGAAGTATTTTGAAGGTTGTATTCCACTAACACACCAACCATTCCTTAATCTTTGGAACAGTGACTAAATTACAGCTAACTGTATACACACACCGAGACATAAACTACCTCTCGGTGCATTTTCTGTGTATATATCCTGCTGGCCTCAGTGTATATACAGCAAGAAAAATACATGTCCTTGTATATATCGTTTATCAATTATTGTCAATACATAGGTATTAATTTATCATTCCAAACATTTACGTCGCACTTAGAAACTAGCTAATCGACTATTTTTGTAGTGTTACATACAAAATGTTCCACATTGTATTGTTTGTATTCGTTGAAAATGGAGGAAAATTCACTATAGGACTAATGTTCACAAATTCTCCTCTCGAGGTTCGCGGGGATAATGGGGGCCAAGGAAATCTCAAGCTATTTTAAGGCGATCGAATTTATTACGTACTTAAAATATCCTCGCTTCCGACCCCCCCCTCCCATAACAATGGTTGATGCGGGAGGGCTGGTGGTGTGGTAGAGGGGGATGGGGATAGAGGCTCGGAGGTCGGAAGGCGTTTCGCTCTCATCTCGCCGAAAAATCCACTAAATACAAACTTAAGTCAGACGAAAAATTGCCCTCAGCCACACCTCCCACAAGACTCTTCCCTAGTCCCTCTCTCCATCACCTTTCTCTTCTCTACCTCCCCTTCACACCTCTTTCCCTAATCTCCTTCCACTACTTTCTTCCATTTCCTCCCATTCACCCTTTAATTTTTGCTAGGTCTAGATGCTCTGTTTCCCGATTTTCCTTCTCATCTCTTGTCTCATTTGGTGAGTCAAGTGAAGATTAATAAGGCTCCATATTTTGAGTTACAAAGTGTGTGAGCAAGGAGAGTGCTGAAAAGAAAGGAAATAAATATATACGAGAGTACAGAATGGAGAAGGAAATGGGAACGGCTTCCGACAAGACGAGTGAAGAATAAAATAGGGAATAAATAAGACATGAATAGACAAGAAAGGCGAGAGAATAACAAAAATGAAAAGGGGATGTGAAAGAAGGTAGTAAACAGAGGGTAAGGTAGCGAAGGCAATAAAAAATGGAATTTAGTAGGAACAGAAACAAGGACGCAAAAAGCTTAATTAGGAATAAAGTTTTGAAGTAACATGTTGACATTTTAGAACTATATTAGCCTCTTGTCTTCCTTTTCTAGTACATACACAAAACACAAGCCATTTGGAGATAAAAGATATAAAATACCGAAACGATGGAAAAAGCAGAAATGCAGTATAATGCAATCCTTTATTACACTTCGCCCAAAGTGGGTGAAACGTAGCATTTATTTTACCAATATGCCATGTGTTCATTAAATCTATTGTAATCTGCTAAGTGGAAATTTGAGGCCTCGACTTTTTAACTGAAACTGATTTATTATCAGTCTGTTTTTTTTTAATAGGATGTTATGGGAATATCCTTTTGTCGGTTTTAAGTGTTTGACAATGAACATCAATGGTTTGAGGTCGCAGAGAAAGTGTGAGTGGTTTAGGGAGTTTTTGGAGCGTCATGGTGTTGACGTTGTGTTCTTGCAGGAGCATAATTAGACATGGTTATGAGTTGAAGGTGGAGGGATATAAGGTGTATGATTGAACATGCGGTCAGACTGAAAGGTGGTGTGGCTATATTGGTAAAGGAAACTAGCCCGTTGGTTGTCAGGCATTGTGAAGGGGGGGGAGGGGAGGGTGATACGTGTGGATGGATTATGGGGTCAGGTAAAGATGACGTTGGTGTGTGTATGGACCGGCAGAGGGAGACGTACGCGTTAAGAATAAATTTGTGAGGGACGTGTTGGTTTACTACTTGCGTGGATTGCCAGGGGTAGCCGTGATAGGTGATTGGAACTGTGTGATAAGGCGTAAGGATGTGGAACCGAGGGGGGCGGGGCATTGTATGGGAATATTGGGAGAATTGTTATCAGGGGTGGGTTTGATCGATATCTGTGGGGGGGGGGAGGTAGAACATACATTTATTAGGCGTGGGTATGCTGCTAGGCTCGATCGTTTGTACGTCCCCAGAAGGGTAGTAATACATAGGGTGAGGGTGTTGGATGTGGTATTTTCTGATCATAGGGGTGTTATGGTGGATTTGGGTTGGGAGGGGTTGCCACGAAGGGGTAGGGGGTATTGGAAGTTAAATGTAAAGTTGCTGCATGAAGAATATAGACAGTCATTTAAACAGTTTTTGGAGGGGTTGGAGGCAGAAGCGCCTGGGAATGGTGATCTGGTTAGATGGTGGGACTCGGTGGCGAAATCAGGTATTAAGGATTTTTATGTACGTAATGGGAGGGAATATAATAGGTTAAAGTATGGGTTTCAATCTTATCTTGAGGGGCAGTTGAGGGCTTGCTACGAACGTGGGAGGGTTAGTTACCCGGTGGGAGATATTGAGGGATTAAAAGAGCATTAGGGAATTGCAAAATGAAAGATTTGATGGTGCACGCGTTTTGGCGGGGTTGGTGTTATGGGGTGATAGGCCATCGGCGTGTGTATTGAGAGGACAGCGTAAGAGGAGAGCGGCGACGGAGATGATGGGATTAACTGTTCATGTGGGGATGGGAGGGTATAGGGAAGGGCAGGTATTGATGTCGACTGAAGGTATGAGTGGATATCTTGATGTATGGTTTAGGTCATATGCACAACATGTGGGTATACGAGATGATGCTTTAAGGGAAATGGGTGGTTATGTGCAATGCGAGCTTGATGGTAGAGATAGGGAGACTTTGGAAGGACAGATTACGGAAGGGGAAATTTGGCAAGCTATAGCAGGGGCAAGTTTAGGTAAGGCACCGGGTGTAGACGGGTTGCCTAATGATTTTTATGTTAAGAATTGGGAAGTATTGAGGAGATTTTTAGTCAGATTGTTCAATGTAATGAAGGAAGATGGGGCAATGGGTGAGCAGCAAAGGACTGCTGTTGTCGTATTAGTGCCGAAGGGTGGACAGACCACGGTAGATTACCATGCAATACCGCTTATGTGCGGTGATTATAAGTTATTTTCAAGGTTGTTAGGGAACAGAATCAAACAGGTTTTAGGTAAAGTAATTGATAGAGGACAATATGGCATACCGGGTAGATCAATGAATGAAGGGCATGGAGTTATTAGGAGCTTTATAGAGCATAGGGGGGAGGGGGTGTTTTGGCTCTGGATTGGAGAGCTGCTTATGATAGCGTAGAAAGGGATGCATTATGGAGTTTTATGCATTGGTTGGGTTTCGGGAGGGAAATTGTTTCTTGGGCAAAAACTTTGTATCTGGGTGCAGTTATGAGAATTCAGGTTAATGGACGACTAGGTGATAGCATACAGATGGGAAGGGGTTTGCGACAGGGATGCCCTCTGTCGCAAATTTTGTTTGCATGTCTTCAGGAACCCTTTTATAGGGCAGTTAGGTGGAGTATAGCGAGAGCGAGGGTTGGTTTTGCACGAGAAGCGGAAGCGGGTATAGTGGGTTACGTGGATGATACGACTGTCTTGGTGAGGGATGTGAGGGATTTACATAAGGTAGGAAGGGTGATAGACGTTTTTGGTGAGGCTACGGGGATGAAAATTAATGTAGTAAAGTCCAAGTATTTGGATCTAGGGGATAGTGTACATAATGGTGAGACTGTTGAGGGTGGGTGGCGTGTGGTGGATCAGTTATGTGGGATAGTGTACATGCGGAATGATAGGGATGCACAAGAGGCAAATTCGAGGCGCACCGTGGATGGAGTTTTGAAAAGATTGGGAGGTTTGAGGGCAGAGCAATTAACGTTGCATCAAAGGGTTAGTCACGAATGTCCTGTTGTATAGCAAGTTATGGCACGTGGTGGCAATATATCCGTTACGACGGTGTGAGGTGCAACGGTTGCAACTGCGGGTATTCAGATTTATATGGGGATCGGATTGTGACTGGCTAAGTAGAGGGGTGGTGTCGCTTCCCGTTAGCCAGGGGAGGCTGGGGCTTATACCTCTTGAGAAGCGTATGTTGAGTGTTTCTGAAAAGGAGGTTTGTGAGGGGGGGGTGGGGGGTGGCGGGGGGGCCTTGAAAGACTGCGCATGGATATGCAACGGTGGTTGAGGGGTAGGGATTTAATGTTTGGGGAGGCTGTTGCGAGTTTTACTGAAGGTAAGGGATCCGAAACAGCTTAAATTGAAGGTTCTTGAGAGGAGGGGGGTCTGTGGTGGCGGCAGTTGAGGGGGCATACCCTATGTATGCATGGGGTTCTGTATGGAAATGTCTTCAACAACTACGTGTAAAACCAAGTGTCAGGGAGGTTATGTTTAGGTTTTTACATGGGATCTTGCCGTCTGGGGTTATTTAATAGGAGATTAAGGGAGGGTGGGGAGTGCAAAGCGTGTGGATGTCCGGAAACCATATTTCACGCTGTGTACTTTTGTACTTGTTTAAAAGATGTGAGGGTCTGGCTAAGTAGGGTAGTTAGGTTAGTGGGTGGGGAAGGATTACAGGTGTTGCGGGTGTTAAGTTTAGATATAGGTGGGTGGAGTCAGCAGGTGGTGAATGCGGTTGCGTATGTGGTCACTGATTTTATTTATATATCTTGGGCAATGAGGGAGGTGGGAGTCGGGGAAAGGATAGGAGTGTTAGGGGCCACGATGTATAGAACAAAGTGCCGCAATAGGGATCTTTATGGGGGAAGATGGGAGACAGCATTTACTGAAGGTTATCGTAGATTTA